GCAGGGCCCGTGGTGGGTGGGGGGGTTGGGGCGCCACACCCTGTCACAGAGCAGGGACGATCAGGGGGTTGAGGCGCTGTGCCCTGTCACACACAGAGCCACAGGGCGATCAGGGGGTTGGGGAGCTCCCCCCTATCAGGCACCGAGCAGGGCTGATCAGGGGGTTGGGGCGCCTTCCTCTGTCACGAACAGAGCAGGGCAGATAGGGAGGTTGTGGCCCCGCCCCCTGTCACACACAGAGCCGCAGGGCGATCAGGGGGTTTGGGCACTGCCCCCTGTCACGCTGATCCCAGTGCCAGGAGGCCTCTCGGCTCCGCTGATCCTGGTGCTGGGAGGCCTCGCGGCTCCACTGATCCCAGTGCTGGGAGGCATATTACCATTTTACTATATAGGATAGAGGCCTGGTGCATGGGTGGGGCTGGCTGGTTTGCCCTGAAGGGTGTCCTGGATCAGGATGGGGGTCCCCACTGGGGTGCCTGGCCAGCCTGGGTGAGGGGATGATGGCTGTTTGCAGCTGGTCACACACCCTTCAGGGTGGGGGTCCCCACTGGGGTGCCTGGCCAGTCTGGGTGAGGGGCTGAGCGCTGTTTTCAGGCCGACTGAAGCTCCCAACTGCTCCTTTTTTTCTTTTTTCTTTTTATTCTGGGCCAGCTTTAGCTCTGGCTCCAGCTCTGAGGCCTCTGCTGCTGAAAGATGGTATCTGGTTTGTTTGGGTTCTATAATCGAAACAATGTATAACTCCAGCTCTGAGATCCCGGGCTCGCTGAAAGCAGGTTTCTGGGGTTTTGTTTAGCTTCTATATTTGTTACAATGTTTCAAACTGGAAGCTCAGAGGCCGGCAAGGCAGCAGGGAACATTGGAGTCCTCCGTCACTGAAGCAAGCAAGCCTCATGTTAGTTTCAAGCTGCCTGGCTGCCAGCCGCCATCATGGCTGGCAGTTAATTTGTATATCTCGCTGATTAGCCAATGGGAAGGGTAGCGGTTGTATGCTAATTACCATGTTTCTCTTTTATTAGATAGGATGTGTTAGCAATATATTTGGAAATATTAAAATATTAATTTCCAAAGTTACGGATTCCCCCCTACACTCCCCCACCCCCCCACACCCCCCGTTACACTAGAAACTCTTATCTGACATAGTCTAAATCTGTCGTTCCTTAGATAAAAAGAGTCAGTAAACTCAGGAAATCATTTTTTTTTTCTTTTTAATCTTTACTAGTATTGTTGAAGGTATTACATAGGTCCTCCTTTTTTTCAGGAAATCATTTTAATGGACTGTCTACCTACCTTATTTTCTTATACAACATACATATGAAAATTTGTGAACTTTGCCAACCTTTTGACAAGAGGGCAAGGCTTTCTCTTTCCTTCAGTTATGAGACCATTGACAAGTGTTAAGGACCTCTTTTTTACATGACCCACACCCATGATACAGTGCCTACAATGAAAACACTTGCTAAGCAGTCTTAATTCAAATATATCTAGATTTTTATAATATTTGTTGCTTAATTTTCTGTGGCACACATGCCTAATTTATGAATGCTTTTTAAATTTAGATACCATTAGTTAGTTAGTTGTCATCAACTTAGTTTCATTGAAACAGCTCTTTCACATTCATATTCTGTCAGCTTATATAATATTACTTAATCACATTAATAAACATGGGTTCACATCACTTAGAAACTGTTTTGCTAGCAAAGAACCCATAGTCCCTCTTGGTAAGCCTACAATATGCATGTGCAAGAATATTAGAAGAAAATTGCCTCTTCCTCTTCAGTTCTACAGAGGGACAAAGGAAGAGTGTCAGAAGGAGCTCAATTAAGAAGCTCCTACTGTATAAATTGTGTTCACTACATTTTAAAATGGATGCAAATCTATCCAAACATAGATACATGAAAATAACATAAAATGCAAGAAAAAAGGGGTGCTTTGAGAAATCTACCTTACAAATAAGACCAACTAAAAAGTTGTGCTTTTTGTCATTCAACAAATGATTGTTTTAAGATTATTTTTGTCAGAAAGTGCGTCAGAGAAAATGTAGGCCTTTTCAGTTGGCCATTAATAAATGTGAGAGAGGAAGGAAAAAAAAATGAGGTAAGACAGTTTGGAAACCTATTTGACGATACCTGCTAAAGTTGAACATATTTGTAAGCTGTTACCCAGCAATTCCATGCCTGAGCATGTACCCGGAAAGTGGGTTGGTATGTGTGTTTTGTGTGTAAAGGCGGGGACTGGTGTCTGTCTTCACTAAAAGATGTACAAGAAGGTTTATAGCAGCATTATTGGTAATGACCCAAATTTGGAAACAACTTAAATGTTTATCAATAGTAGTGTGAATAAGTACATTGCAGATGATTTAGTTAATGGAGTAGTACATAGTACAACCTGCAGGAGTGTGGGTAAATATCACAAAATCTAATGTTGAATGAAAGATACCAGACCAAGAAAATCCATTCCGTAGGATTCCATTTTTATTATCTTCAAAAGAGGCTAAAGTGTTAAAAGTGAGGATAGTGATACCTTGGTGAGAGCAAGAAAATATGACTGAAAGAAAGCGCAAGATGACTTTTAGAGTTCTGAAAATACTCGGTTTCTTAAGTTGGGTACTGTTTTCTTTGAGTTTGTTCTTTGAACTTTATGCTTAAGATTTGTGTGTTTTTATTATGTATGCTGTGCTGTAAAAATATTTTAAACAAAAGAAATGTGACTATGTGATGGAACTGTTATTAACTAGATAAGTCATGTAGTAAAGACACTGAAAAATGTGTTGAGCTCCACAAAAGGATTTGAGAAGAGCTTAATTATGGAATCTATCAAAAAGGGAAATAAGACTTAACAACCTAAAGTGTACCATCTGCAGCTAATTTGGTTATGATAACTCATTTCATGCCAGTTCGTTGTATTGTGCATATTTGGTACTTGGAGTATGCAACCACTGAGAATTATTTAATAAGCATATAATTATAAACCATAAATCATTTTATCCTAGTCCTGTAAAGTAATCTGGATTATCCTCATTTTAAATCAGTTTTTATTTTAAAAGTGTCAGGTTCTGTTCGGGACAAAATACTGTGAAAAAATTTGATTTCTAGGACAGGAATACACTTCATTAATTGACCTGTTCTTATCAAATATCTTTATCCATATTTTCTATCTCTTTGGTTTCCTTCATTTGAAAGGGGAAAAAATTATAAAAATGTTCTGGTATGTATTCAATTTATATAATTGCAAACAAAAATCAAATAAATATTAGAATGAGATCAAAGGAATGGAGCCTTTCAATCATTTTCTCATGGGACTCGCTGAATTTGCAAGACAGACTCCTACTATTTCAATCATGATAAAATACATGCCAGCCCAGTACTTTATTATACAAAAAAAAGGCAATGGAGGAGAAAAAAATATTCAGTTGCCATAATTATCTTCTTCGTTGAGGGGAGTGAAACGCAATTGCAAAAACCCTTGGTAAATGTGATTCACCTCTTTAATTAAATTGTAATTCTCTCCTTTATATAGTACATACAGATATAACGTGTTGATTTGGCAAGAGAAAAGAGTATGCTTCTAAATTAGCTAATCAAGTAAATAATCATTTTGAAAAATATTTGTATTTGTTTATATGTTACTATAATATTTCAAGATTAGAGACCCTATAATTTCTCTGAGGAAGAAAAGTGGTTTGGTACAGAATAGTAACATTGTTTAATAAATATGTCTTCTTTCATTGAAATACACTTTTGCCTAGACTTTAAAGATATATTCTTTAAGTTTGTTGAAATTATTTATGGTTCTTAATGAACTGTGAACTCTAAAACCTAGAAGGAAAAGTCCAAGGCATTCTAATTAGTGAGTTCAATTCTTAAGGACCAGAATTCTGTGGGCACTTTGCCACCGACCCACCAATTTCTGTCTCCTGCCTTGCTAACTCTATGCCACACTCTGTACCAGTGAGACATAATAGTGGCTGTGTGTGAAGAATGAGCTGGAAAAACTATCAGTCTGGGTTGGGGATAGCACTTCTCACAACAAAGGGAGACTTCTGAGTTTTTATCTGCACTCAGGATAGGAAAGAAATTGAAATAGAAAGCCATGTCAGTGATTAGCTTGGTTCTTGAAGGAACCAGGTGTTTTTTCATCCAGCTCACCTTTAATGTGGTAGCTATCAATCAAGGCCACCTTTGAGAAAGAGAATTGGGGAAGTAAGCCAGATCAAAAAATGTAAGATAGTAATTGGTCCCTGACATGGAAACCCAAAGGCAGAAGGAATAAGCAGCCATGGAAAATTATTTATCTCCCTAAATTCACATCACCTCATACTAGCTTCTTTATATGTTATTTTGAAAATGGGAGCCACTGGGTGGGTGGGGGGGGGCGGGCGGTTGAGGCGAGTGAGATACCCTTTGTAGAAATTATTGTTAATTGAAATGTCTACTGATGCAGGAATGCAACCTGATTAGTTTAAGATTTTGCCCACTAAATAAGGAATATACGAATAATTTGGTTACAAGTGTTAACGGTGTTAATTAATGAGAAAATGTATGTGACTGTTTTTCTGTGATTCAGTATGGTAAAAGTTAAATGCTTCATACTGGCCGAAACCGGTTTGGCTCAGTGGATAGAGCGTCGGCCTGCGGACTGAAGGGTCCCAGGTTCGATTCCGGTCAAGGGCATGTACCTGGGTTGCGGGCACATACCCAGTGGGAGATGTGCAGGAGGCAGCTGATCGATGTTTCTCTCTCATCGATGTTTCTAACTTTCTATCTCTCTCCCTTCCTCTCTGTGAAAAATCAATAAAATATATTAAAAAAAAAATTCTTCATACTGCTTTCACAAATTTCTAAAATAATTTATATTATCATTTTCCTTGAAAGATATACTTTAAGTACAAATGTCTATCTTGTAATCTTTAGTTAATGGCTTTGAATACATTCATGGAAATTGTATTTTTTAGTAGTGATATATCAAAAATATTTAAAGTTATACTCCTTTTCTTTTCTTAGGATTTGGAACTTGGACGGAGTACAGACATCTCATTTTGCTCTTAATTCCCCTGGAATGAGTGTGTGCTGGCATCCTGAGGAATCTTTTAAGGTTGTTATTTATAACTTAGTTTTCTTTTATCAAGCTGAAAAGATATATACATGTGTAATACTTGCACACATAGAGGAGAAAAATCAATGACTTTTTTCCATCTCAGAGACAAATGTACTTGTCACAAATGTGTTTGTCACAAATACATTTACTCTAGAAAGCTGTACCTTAAAAGCTCTGTATAATTAAGTTTTTATTTGACAGCCATCATGTCTAAATGGCATTCATTCAGAAGACACTTTTCCTGCTCTTTGGCAAATTACAGTCTAAAAACTGATACCCAGATTGCCTAGTAGCAATATTTGTTTAAAAATAAAAGTTAAATCCATGCTTGTGAGCCATAGTGTATAAACAGAAAGTATCTGACATAACTGCAGTGATGATCAATACCTATTCAAAATAGAGCGTTCTAAAATCCTAACAGTGTCATTTGGCCTTAACTCTTATTTGATTGAGAAAGTGGGAACCATTCAACAAGAGTTGTCTTATTTGCCAGTATCTTCTCTTGGGCATCACTCTGTTTCATTGCTCCCTAGAATCTGAGAAGCTACCACATTCATCTTAAAGTTAATCCCTCAGTTGTTTAGAGCTGATGCCAGTTCCTTAAGTGCCAGGGGTTCTCGTCCCAGCATCTAGAAGGGTTCAGGAATCTGGAAAAGGCTGTGCGTAGGTGACATAGAAATCCAGAGACTAATAAAGAGTCCGGAGACGAGATATAATTTTGAAAGTCATTGGGGGTCAGAGGACCTTCAGCTAAAGGAACTGAAGACTCCCTTCTTGTCTAGGACCCTTGCTTTTATTAACACAATTTGTCCTAAGGCAAGGTGGAGTTAATACACTTCAAAGGGTAAGGTTTCAAAGGGTACAGTAGCATTGTCAGTTTGGGGGCTAGCCTACGCCTGTACAGGTGTTTGGCCAGTAAGAGGCAATAACATATAAATTAAGATGCCCTTTAACTGTCTGGCAGCCAGCAATCAGTTTCCTACTCAGGTTTGGGGAAATGCCTTTAGCCATTCCCAGCTGGTGACTACATGTGTGACTCAACCTTGAGTCCCCAAGTCTCATCAACCTTTTGATGAAACTTGAAATTATGACATTCTGGAATTGGTCGCCGGCACTTAAGCATCCTTTGCATTTTATCTTCCATTTATAATACATATATGCAAATGTTTAAATTTTACTACATACATTGAATCTCTGCCTGCTTCTCAAATTTGGTGAATGAAGTTATTGAATTTTCTTTATTTTTCTGTCTCACAGCTGATGGTTGCAGAGAAGAATGGAACAATCCGATTTTATGATCTTATGTCCCAACAGGCTATTTTATCTCTTGAATCAGAACAGATACCATTAATGTCAGCACACTGGTGTTTAAAAAACACCTTCAAAGTTGGAGCTGTTGCAGGGAATGATTGGTTAATTTGGGATATTACTCGATCCAGGTACTTTCTTCGTTCATTTATTGCTTACAAAAATCAGTCATTGTTTTTAATGATCCACTGAGCCATTTTTATATCGCTGGCCCTCACAGTTGAGCTAAGGCAAGTCTATTTTGAAAGGGCCAGAGCTATGAGTTTAGATAACAAAGATGGGCATTGGTGCCTTGCAGATTCACTTTGAGCACAACCCAGAAAGAGCAATGTGATGAGGAAATCTTAGAGCATTGTTTACTTACATTGAACAAACACTGACCCTGTTGAATAATCGTGTTTTATGATGGTTCTGCATCATGCTTATGTCTTTATCATATTTCATCTATTTCAATCCCATGCTTATTTGGAATTTTGTCACAGTTTAAGTATATTGGCCATTGTGATGTTTTGTTTTGTTCTGTTTTGAAACAAGTTATCTCTTATTATTTTTTATTATTATTTTGTTGTTGTTGTTAATCCTCAACCGAGGATATTTTTCCATTGATTTTTAGGGAGAATGGAAGAGAGACGGAAAGACAGAGAGAAGCATCGATGTGAGAGAAACACATTGATTGGTTGCCTCCTGCACGAGCCTCGACCAGTACCTGGCCGGGGAGGAGCCTGCAACCAGGGTATGTGCCTTGACCAGAATCAAACCCAGGACCCTACGGTCCGCAGACCTATGCTCTAACCACTTAGCCAAACTGGCTAGGGCTTGGGCCATTGTGTTTTTTAAAAAGAAAATACCTCCCGGCCAGTGTTTCTCAGTGGTTGAGCATTGACCTATGAACCAGGAGGTCATGGTACGATTCCCAATCAGCACACATGCCTGTGTTGTGGGCTGGAACCCCAGTAGGGGGCGTGCAGGAGGCAGCCGATCTATGATTCTCTCTCATCATTGATGTGTCTATTTCTTTCTCTCCCTACCTCTCTGAAATCAATAGAAATATATTTTTTAGTTTAAAGGAAATACTTTTTAAACTGTAATTTAAGTTCTACTTAAGACCAGTATATAATTCATAAAATCCAAAATACTATCTTTTAGTTACCCTCAAGTGAAGAGACCTGTCCACATGGATCGAGCCTGCATATTTAGGTAGTGTACCACTTCTGTTGGAGTTATAATTTTATTTTTTGAGTCTGGTTACTCCATCTGGAATACTTTCCCAATCCTCTTCTTTGCTCTGGATTTATGTTTGTTTGTTGGGGGGGTTGTCTTAACTAAGGTTTTGCTCTTGTCTTTTGGTTTAGGCGAGGGAGTGATTTTTCAATGTTGTTTTTTTAATTTTGTAAGACACATTGCCACTGTACAAATACCACCTCTCCCCCTCCCCCCCCCATAATCTGGAGCATATGCTTCCTTATTTTATGTACTGATCAAGCTATAAAATGTAGGTGGAACCATATTTTTCAATATAAACTTCATTTTTGTGCTAAATGAGAACATGCTAGACATCATCTGCAACTTGCTCTCTTCTTTTTCTTGCTTAAATTAACATTCACATCTACCTTGTTTTTCATTCCTTTTTGCATAATATCCCATTGTATCATACAGTCTTTAGGGCTCTTTCCTTTTCAAGCAAAGGAGAATTTACTGACTGAGACTAATACCAATAGAACGTGTAACGTTTGTGTGTGACTTCAAATCTAAGATTATAGTCACTCAGTGTAAGAATATCAGAGATTGTGGGATGCGTCCTGCTTTCAGAGATGTAAGCAAATAGTGTATGGTACTTAACAAGAAGTCTGGAGAAGGCAGTGTCAGGATTACTTTAGTAGCTCAACAACGTCATCAGGAGTTGAGACCTTTCCCTCTGCCACCCTCCATGGCAAGGCTTTGGACTTGTTGCTTCACAGTCGCAAGATGACCTCCATTGTTCCAGGCATCATAGCCTCCTCATTGGCCAAAGTAAGGGGAGAGGAAGAGTACTCCCTTTTCATTGGGAATAGCTGTCTTTGCTATTGTGTCTCATCTTTTGGGGTTGGACACACTGCCAGAAGGTAGTTGGGGTTCGGTTAGCGTGGAAAAAGGTCAGAAAGGCTGTTGAATAAGTAACTAATGTCTGCCACAAATTTTTGTCTGATTTTTGGTCAGGGAATCTTTTCTTTTTTTTTCTTATCTTTTCTACTTATTAAAGTGTTGAGCATGTTGCTGGAGCGCCATTATCATTCGTTGATTCATTGATTCATTATATTCCAATGTGTAGGATGTCTTAAATCTTAAATATTTAAATATCTAAATATTCTAGGTGTTTGTATCATCTCCAAGAATTTAAACTTGTAAGTTTATCACTATTTCATAACGAGTGTCAGTAAGAACATTAAATGTATTTCTGTGAAATAGTTTATATTTTATATCAGTCTGATACCTTGTTGATGTCCCCTACCACACTGTTAGCCCTTTGGTTATAAAAAAGGAACTGCTAACCTGTGTAACTTTGGAATGTAACAAAGTGGCACACCACAATAAGCACTTAATAAATATTTACAGAATGAGAAAATATAGTTAACTTCCCTGGAATTTCTCATTTTAAAGCCCCACTAACAAATTCAGGGTTATAAAATTATTGTTTTGTGCAACAAAAAAATATAACCTGTTTTAGAAAAGTTTATAGTTATCTGTAAAATACTGAAGTTATTTTTATTCTTTCTTTCCTTAGGTGGTCCACAATTAATGAAAATTTGTTTGCAACCACTGGTTATCCTGGCAAAATGGCAAGCCAGTTTCAAATTCATCATTTAGGACACCCTCAGGTAATGTAGAGATGTTTTGTGGCATATGGGTTTTTAATTTGTTTTTTACTTTTCCATTTATAGCCCCCAAATTTGTAATGTGTATCTAGATATTTATGAATGTCATCTGCTTAAATTGGAAAAATAAGGCATTTTTTGATACTTAAATCACTAGTGGTAATAGATGTTTTGTCTATATACATGTAAGAAGCATTTTATTTCTTCTGTTATATTTTCTCCTTGATTTATTTTTTTAAATCCTCACCTGAGGATACTTTTTTCATTGATTTTTAGAGAGAGAAGAAGGGAGAGAAGGTGGGGGAGGGGTGAAGAGAGAGAGAGAAACATCAATATATCGATGTGAGAGAGACATATTGATCCATTGCTTCCTGCACATGCCCCAACTGGGGCTGAGGATCAAACCTGCAATCCAGGTGTGTACCCCTGACTGGGAATCAAACCCGACACTCTTAAGCACTGAGTCACACTGGCCATGGCTGTCCTTCATTTAAATATAATCATTTTGCTTGCTTGGTTTGTTTAGGCTGCAAAAATATTTGACTTTGGGTTGCACTAGAAATTCATAGATTATTTGTATCCTTCCTTCCAACCAACTGCAAGCAAATAATTCCTATTTCACCTGTGAGGAAGCATATTTTTTAATTCTGCTATATATAAAGGCAATATATTAATGTATTTTTTATTTCTGAAGGGTAGTTTTTACTTACTAACTTTGATGATTTAGTAAGCTTCTTTAATTCTTCACTTATTTTATAGCCCATCCTCCTTGGTTCAGTAGTCGTTGGATCTGGCCTTTCCTGGCATAGAACTCTCCCACTATGTGTAGTTGGAGGCGACCACAAGCTGTTGTTTTGGGTAACTGAAATGTGAAATAAATTTCTGTCTAACTTGGATCCATAAGTTTTGCATTTTTGGAGAATTCCTTATTTTTATATTAAATATACTGTAAACTCTAGAAATATCTCAGTTGTTTTTGTTAAATAAAATATTAATGGTTTGAAAAAAAAATTTTCTACTCTGTTCTGTGTGTGTGTATGTGTATGTGTATGTATTTTAATCAACTCTTAAGAATATAATTGACTCAGCAGTTCCGGAAAAGAAATGATTAGGGAAACATAATGCTTTTGATTTTATCACAGGATTATCCAGAGTATATCCTATCCTCTATGCTTTAAATATATGCTACTTTTCTAATTCTCAGGGCCAAGTATTTACAAAAGGAAAAAAGGATCTCCTTTCAGTGTTACTCTGGAAGTTGTTGAGTGTATGTGTGTGCATGCATGTGTGCATGCACACGCTTATTTTCTTAGCAATCTGTTATATGTAGGAATCTTAGGACTTTTTCAGGAATTATTAAAGGTTATTATTTAATTTAATATTAAAAAGATGGCCGAAACCGGTTTGGCTCAGTGGATAGAGCGTCGGTCTGGGGACTGAAGGGTCCCGGGTTCGATTCCGGTCAAGGGCATGTACCTGGGTTGCGGGCACATCCCCAGTGGGAGATGTGCAGGAGGCAGCTGATCGATGTTTCTCATCGATGTTTCTAACTCTCTATCTCTCTCCCTTTCTCTCTGTGAAGAATCAATAAAATATATTTTTAAAAAAAGATGATTAATTCCTTAAAAAATGTGAGCGATTATGTTACTCAACCCTGTTCATTATATGCAAATTCCTTTTGACTCTACATCTCCACATTCTTAGAACATCTGGTATATAGGATAAAGCTTAACATGAAAAATAACATCATTTTTAACAGCTTTTGCCTTTTATGAATTTTCACCATTTTTATAGTAATTTAAGTGTTTTTGAGATGACATCTAGTGGCAAAAGAACTGTATTCACCATCTCAAAATTGAAGTCAGTATTATGTAAGGCAGTCACCATGTTTTTGTGACACACTATGATGTAATCAGAAGAGTGTAAGCTTGGGATTTGGCCTTCAGTCATATGGAATTAAATAAATTCCTCCAAACTCTGCATACCAGTGAGTTGAAGCTACATTTCATCCTATAAAATAGAGACAGGAATCAGTGTCTCATGAAGTTACTGTAAGGATTGAGTAAAGGTGAATAAAAAATACTTAAGTAACAATTTCAGAGATGTATAGTTCATATTTTTGAATAATTGAAAGTTTATTTTAATGCTAATAAATATTTTTACTCAAGTTCTCTATATAATTTCTTATAGCATCTTATGGAATCAAGATAATTAACTTTTGATAGGGAAATGTTACAGGTATTTAAAAAATTTCAATACTGTTTTGTAATCATGTAGATGTTTGGTATGAACTGTTATATGCTTTAAAGTACAGATAAAAAAATTACAAAGCATAGCAATTTCCATGTCAATTATTTAATACAGTAAAATATTACTACCAAATAATAGAAATAGTTTCCTCTACCCCTTATAAGCAGGTTTTGAACTTACAGCGGAAAATGGCAGTGAATTTTGACATGGTTCCCATTAACAGTCTCTGTGATGGGACAGAGAGCCTTAAAAGCATCAGGATAGGCCAAACATTTTGTAAGAGTTTGTCATTTCAGACTATTTAATAAAAATAAGGGATACATCCTGAAATAATAAATGGGGCCAGTGTAGTTGAAAATCGTCTTATACTTAGAAAAGGTGGCTTAGGAATTGAGTGGGTTATGTTTAGGGGTGGAGATTAGAGAGGTGAGTTTTGTTGGGCTTGGTATCTGGGATATGGAATCTCCGGAATAAGGGCTTACCCAAATATAAACATTGTCAGACGAAATTTCCAGTAGACTACTCTTTGCTAGGGGAAAGATAAGTCATAGTGGTCGTGTAAATACAGTTATGCCAAGGAGAGGCAGGCTGTGTTCCATTTGTTTATTAATATGATGCTGTGAGAAATTAGAGGCATGCCTTTACCTCCAGGTTCCAGAAGTGGTATACATTTTACCTACTAAGGACAGACTCAAACCTTTTTTTTAAAAAAAAAAAAAAAAACAACATCTTACATAGAGAATATTGCAACCATTTTCCCGTTTCGACTTTGTTGTTAAACATTAGTATGTACAATTCTTTAAATGGTGTAATGATATTCTTTTCCCTTAGTAAACTTTGTTCTTAGTAAAGAATGTTTAAATTAGACTAAGGCAGGAAGAAATGTATGATTTGGAATAAGTTCTTGGTCATCACGTCTAATTCCTGGTAAATAACATAAGAGCTGATTGTGTGTGTGTGTCACTTAATTTTAGTTTTTCAATGTTGATAAATAGGTCTAAGATGGTTTTTCTCTTGTTGAAATTAAGTTTTGCTCAGGATTGCTTCACTTACAAACATTGTGAAAAGAAAAGAAAAAAGTTGTGCTTTTGTCCTAAAGCTTGTATTATTTAGTACTGTGAAGCAAAAGTCAGGATATCACAAATCTCCAAGATGTCAGAACTAAATCCTACACTTTCAAAATGATGGAATCGTAGCCCCTTTTATTTTTATGATTTGGCTTGTGCATTGTGAATATTTCAGTGACTCTCCCATGCCAAAACACAAAATCGCACACCCATGCACTTCAATGTGTTTCTTACTTTGGTAATTTGCAACTACATAATGACGCTGACTTAGAAATGTTCCTGTTACTGTTTTAAATCTCACGTCAGTGGAGAAGAAATCGAAATCTGGTTTGCACATTTGTGTCTGGTTTTTTGTAATTGTCCAAAATCTGACATTATCCCAGAAATGCTGATTGGGAAGTTATGAGACAGTACTGTGCCCAAAACTAATTTCTGAGGAGAGAAAAAGTATTTGGTCCAGATTATCCCCCATGTTTTTCTGTAGCTCAAAAAGTTAAACTCAATTTAACCTAACTTTATGCCATACCAGTAATAACCTTAGTTCTGAACCCAAGTAAAGTTTACAAAGTAAAAAAGACCATTCTGATGGTCCATTTCCACATATTCCTTAGGCAACTGGTCAAGTCCTCAGCAGCAGCATTCCGTTCCAGCATATCATTATCAAGCTGTCAGTGTGCTCAGCAACAGGGACAGAGAGAACACTCTGTTTCTTTAATCTAACACCTTTCTCATTCAAAAACATGTATTTTAACAGGCATTGGAAAAGGTTTTCAAAACAGCTAACATGCATTTATAATTATACATTTAAAGAAATATGCCTTTTAAAACATAGGTTCTTTTCTTTTGTTGTTATTAACATAATAACTTGAAATGTGTAGCAACCATTTGTTAACTAATCGCAGTAACACAACAAAATAATTAGGATATCAGCTTTGAGGATCTCATTTCACAGAAGAGAAAAGGATACACATTGGATGATATATCCATTACTCATTCTCAACATAACCAACTTCTTTTGCATCATGCATGGACACAGACTTCATGGGGGATACATAAGCATTGAATCTTTCTGCCCTTTTCAACTGTTCTTTGAACTACCTTAGTGAAAATAATTGTGGTCTTTATGTAGGATCAAGTTACATTTGCCTGGAAATTTCCCTGGATCAGCTTATTTCTATTTAACTTATGTCTTTGTTATATAGCTATTTGCCTTCTCCACTAATTTTTAAAGAAGACTGCTGCAACCTTTTGCAGCAAGGATTCAGAATCTGGGGAAGGGGCTACGTGCAAATGGATATACAGGATAAGAAATATAAATTTAGAAGGCAGGGAGGAAGCCAGGCAGAGGCCTCACCCTCTAGTGGAGTGGCTCCCTGAATCTCTGGACCCATAGCTTTTTATTTACTGGAATATACATTTGCCCTTTAGCAAAGCAAACAGACATATCAAAGGTAAGCTTTGGTAAACAGTAAAAGATTATCAAGTTAGGAGATTGCCCTGAGCCACCATTGTCTCTACAGAAGAATCAGTGCATAGCTTTTAGCCCTTGCTAAAGCCCACGGTTCATCAGCCTTCTAAAGGACCTTTCCCATTTATTATGCTAACTACTTGTTGGTCTTTGCCTCCAGCCGAATATTCTACCTAGGGTCTTGAAACACTTATCAGTATATAAACAAAATTAATTTGAACAATGGTAAGTTAAAGGGGAGGCCACCAGGTTTCTCGGCCTTTGCAAGCAATTTGAGAAACCCAATAGATTTAAAGATCCATGAAATAAGCATTTCTACCAACTGCATTTTTAGTGCTATATTGAGTTAAGTACCTGTTTCCTTTCTCTGTAAGAAAAGGCAATGAATGTTGCTGGTCTCTTTGTTTCTAATGATGTTTAAACACAAAACTTTGGTCTTTTTTATAAACACAGCTGTTGTCCTATCACTGAGCCAAATCCAGACAAGATTAGACTATGGCTGAAATTAAGGTTAATCTCTGCAACCATCTCTAGTAAGAGCTTTCTAATACTGTTTTAGGAAATCTCTATTTTTGAGACAGTGTATAAATGAAGTAAGGCCCAGACAACTAACCCCTAAAGTAAGCCAGAGGCAACTAGTGATAAATTATATCACAGAGATAAGGAAGATAGACTGTCTAAACAGCTTAGTTCATTTGGGTTCATTTTTACTTAGACTGTAACTATAAGAAATGACTTTCTTCATTAAGTTTAAACCAGACCAATATTAAGTTATTCTTTAAAGAACTTTCTACATCTTTTCTTAATTTAATGTTTCCTTGCTAATTGCTAATTCTTTCTTCCACTAGTACTAATGAAAACTGGGTGTTTGTTTATTACAAATAGATTTTATTGTAATGATTGTATAAGAGCTCACTTTGGTTTCTAGCCTATAAGTAGAAATTATTTTCATTAAGATTTAGACTCTCTAGAATCTGAAATACTTTGCCAAATATTCTGTAGGGCTGGTTCTCCTGGGAGTTGGACACTGGAGCCTCAGGCTGTGTTGTGAATGCCTAACAATGCCTCTCTCCAAAGAGCCTGTGCCAAGGAGAACATCTGTGCATGCATCCCTCACTGAAATCTGAGATTTCCCTGGTGCCTGACTGTGGGCAAGTCTAGGGCCTGCTGGTATATACAGCTGCCTCAGAGGTCTTACCCCACAAATACTTTAACCCCCAAGACCATGGAGCCATTCCTCAGTTCTTTCATTTTGACCTATTCCTTTCCCCATCATCCCACTCACCTGCCACAATAAGATGTGTTCACATGTGTATATGATCTTTACAAGACCCTGGGTCATTCCTTCCTACCTATTGAGAGCAAATAACTGGGAGAATGGAATTATTGCAAGGGTTTCTCAATATTACACACATCTTACCACTACCAAAATCCTCTTTTTCCTTTGAAGCCACAATTTCCTGGAGTCCTGAGATAACATAGCTAGCTCCAAAATCCAACTTCCCTACATGATGTCAGGCATCCTGCCAACTGCCTCTTTCCCCTCCCAAACACCATTAACAGGGAGGAAGAATGAATCTGCCAGAGAATCCTTCCCTCCAATTCAGAGAGAGTGGATTTTGAAGATCTCATTCAGAAATCTTGAGAGGGTTAAAAAGTTCTCATATAAAGTGTGCCTGTCATCTGGGTATCTATTATGGGACCCCAGGTTTGGCTCTGGAGTTCAAGATGAAAGCCAGAACCCATTAACCATTCCTGCCTGTGTGACAGAAGAGGCAAGACTTTCTAAGGCAGGATGTATGGTAGGAAAACTAGTAGGACCCAGCCTGGAAAATAAAAGGACATGAAATACTACCTTTGAATTAAAAATTGGGGCTTTTAAAGATGGGTTTCCCAATATAGTTCACCATTTCCATTTAATGTTCCCATTTTAAATCCCCAACAATGTATGTGTTTGCTCAGTGAATATTAAATATCCAACCACAATCATCTAGGGATCCTCAAATTTTTTTTTTTCTATGAATGGCTTCACATACTGGAAAATATTGTGAACCACTTTCCTAGACTGACTGGCTCACACCTCCTGGCCCATTTTTTAAAAGGGTAATAGCAAAGGTCCTAGCATGATCATGTTGGACTCTAGAAGCAAGGCTACAGGACCAAATGTTGATGTTGAACTTCCAGAGTCGTGTTAAGTGATTTTATGTGGTTGTGATTCAAAAAAACCTGACCACTTTAAGAAGTCCAGGTGCTGAGTCATTTACTGAAACAGCCAAAGGAGGTTAATTAGAAGCAGCTGATAGTGGCATCATTTGCTGCACATTATTTTTAATATATGGAGAGGGTTATTCTGTGCAGAGTGCTTATAGAGTATATAAACCTAAGCAAAGACTCACGACAAACCTATCTCATTCATACCCCCACCAATGGGGGACAAATCTGACATCGTGAATTCAAGATAAAATAACTTGCTCTATTAAAATGTCAATGGTTCTAATAAGAGTGACTGTGACATTTTTTCCTCCTATACTTTTTTCTTTGTTTCCTATGATAAATATTTCACTTGCATAATAAATCCTTAACTTAAAAATAGGCAGCTACTAAGTAGGACAGCTATATAATGTTGTTAGGGAATTTAAAGAAATTACAAAGAAGTTGGCAATACCACATGGTCACAAAAGGTAAAGGTAGCATGTACAAGGTATCAAACAAGTGATGAAAGCATGGCTTGGTATAAGGATTAAAAGAGAAATGGCACCATCGAAGGCAGGAAAGTTAAGACTCGGATTTCTTGCGGCATCAGTTCTGAAGGGAGGGTGGAGTCTTTCGGGGGTCACTAAAACATGTTTGATGAAAAGTCTGGATGGGGAATGATTAGTTCTCCCAAATGCCCTCCACCTCTTTTGTAGCCAGGCAGTTACTCCTTCCCTTGTGCTCACCTCTTGAGAAACTGAATTGAGACCCTAGACTCAGGAGAGAGGTATCTTACTGAACTCATTACTTGAAAGTCCACATATGCAGAGTGAGTGTTATGTGTTTTCTTAGATTTTATATTTGTCTTTTAAGCATCCATTCATTACAGGTCTCATTATATTGACTACTAGAGGCCCGGTGCACAAATTCATGCACCAGTGGGATCCCTCGGCCTGGCCTGCAGGATCGGGCCAAAACTGGTTCACTGGCATCCCCCAAGGGCTCCCAGATTGGGAGAGGGTGCAGGCCAGGCCGGGGAGGGATGAGGGAGGTTGGCTAGCAGAGGAGAGACCACGGGAGAGCTCCAGGGCATGCCTGACCCTTCTCGCTCAGTCCAGATTAGCCGGACCTCAGCAGCAAGCTAACCTACCAGTCAGAGCCTCTGCCCCCTGTCATAAGGGCTGGTTGACCAGTCGACTGTCTGCCCCCTGGTGGTCAGTGAACATCATAGCGAGCAGGCAGTTGAATAGCCTTAGCATTTCATTGGCATATTACACTTTGATTGGTTGAACCAACAACCGGATACCTAGCATATTAGGCTTTTATTATATAGGATATTTATTTTCTGTTATTTTTTAAAAGTATTTTTTTAATATATTTTATTGATTTTTTACAGAGAGGAGGGGAGAGAGATAGAGAGCCAGAAACATCGATGAGAGAGAAACATTGATCAGCTGCCTCCTGCACATCTCCCACTGGAGATGTGCCTGCAACCCAGGTACATGCCCTCGACCGGACTCGAACCTGGGACCCTTCAGTCCGCAGGCCGATGCTTCATCCACTGAGCCAAACCGGTTTCGGCTAAAAGTATTTTTATTGATTTCAGAGAGGACGGGAGAGTGAGGAAAAATATCAGTGATGAGAATCATCAGTTGGCTCCCTCCTGCACACCTCCTACTGGGATGGAGCCTATAACCCAGGCATGTGCCCTTGATCAGAATTGAATCCAAGACCCTTCTGTCTGCAGGCCGACACTCTATCCACTGAACCAAACTGGCTAGGGCTGTTTTCTGTATTCTTGAAGGACATTTGTGGCTAACTGATGCCTAAAGGTAATAAAACAACTTACTTGGAAGCACGTTTTCATCGGCAAATCAACCAATCCCTAGCCTGTTACAAGTTTCCTCTTTCCAAAAGTAGAGCATTCATAGGCTGAAATGGTGTGAAACGAAGAAGCAATTACCATTAATTTATATGGAAAACATTTTGAGCTTTCTCAGTCTCAAAATTTAGTACATGCACAATGTCTTTATTTTGTTTACAAGGATCTAAATGCTTAATTATGTCCAGTTTTATGCTAACACCCTTAGGAGCTTAGGGTTTTGGATACCTTAGGACAGTGGTTCTCAACCTTGGCTGCACATTAGAATCACCTGGGAATCTTTTTAAAATCCTGATTTCTGGGCCTCATCCTCCAGAAATTTTGTTTCTTTGTTATGGGATGAGGCCACAACGTTAGTAACAAAGAAACAGAATTTCCGGAGGATGAGGCCCAGAAATCAGAATTTTAAAAAGATTCCCAGGAGATTCTAATGTGCAGCCAAGATTGAGAACCACTGCCTTAGGACATACCTTGCTAAAGGATGCACAAAAAAACTTGAGATAAAGCCCAGATGCGCTTTTAGTTCAAACCTGTGGTGCATTGATGCTGAGATGCTGAGTGTGCTTCCTGGTAAAGGAACTTGGTGGAGCCACTCTTGGATCAGAGGGTGCAGCTGCCTCTATAATGGTTCTGACAAAGCCAACACTGAACGCTATTTTCCCTTGATAAACAAGTGACTATTTGATTAACAAATGAGCTACTTAGATAACAGGACTAGGCAGGGAGAACTCAAACAGTCGCAATTTTTTACTTTTCCTTTTTGCCACGTTGTTAAGGTTTTCCAGCTGGAACCGCAGCCTCGCTCCACCTCGCGTCCCCTGGACTGACGTTACAATCTGGAACTAGAACTACCAATCCCAGAATGCCAGGCGAGAGGGCGGGCTCTCCGAGAACCGCTGCGTGATTGGCGTGCGAAGGCGTTTCCTTCCGGAAGGAAGGGCCCCGGAGGCGGGGACTTGGGGAGACGTTCTAACACTATTGCGGGGTTGGATGGACCACAGCGGGGAGGGTTTGTGGGTGATGCCTGGGTCCCCCGCCCGCTGAGGAGATGGATGAGGACGGGCTTCCTCTCATGGGGTCAGGCATTGACCTGACCAAGGTTTGTAAAAGAAGGAGTTGGACTTCCGGTGACCTGGGAGGAGGATGGTGAAGGGACGCCCGGTTTTCATGGAGACCCCATCTCCCATGCCTCCCGCTGTCCCTGACCGCAGGTCGCTCTTCTGCCGACCTTGGGTGGGAGAGTCCCACTGTCCACCTTCGAACGGGGTCCCTCCCGAGCTGCTTAAGGGGTTAGCGTGCCTCTCCCAGCCTTCGCTTCCCGTGTCACGAGTCTGCCTGCTCCAGGGTGACGCACTGGCGACGTGACCTCTAACCCTCCCTCTTGTACTCGGCCCCCAGGGTTTTTGTGTGTTTCTGTGTGTGGTCCTCACTGGCAAGTTCGTACTTGTGAATCCAGAGCCCATTCTGAAACTTTTCGGTGGCCTCCGTCATCTTGGGACGCCCCTCCCCATCCCCCCACCCCCCCCCCACCCCCCCACGGGGCAGGAAAGCAAGTGAAGGGCCATTCCGAGGACCTCAAGGGGCTCACACCGCACAGCAAAGCACCCCTGGTCGCAGACGCCAAAGGGATTGCTCAGGGTACGCTCCTCCTGTACGAATCACCTCTTTCTTCCACATAACGCAGGTGCCGGCTATTCAACAGAAAAGAACGGTGGCTTTTCTGAACCAGTTTGTGGTGCACACTGTGCAGTTCCTCAACCGCTTCTCCACAGTCTGTGAGGAGGTAGGTCCAGGGATCCGGTCTGATGAGCAGCCTAGAAATCACGTTGCACTTTTGAAGGCAGCAAACGAATAAAACGAGAATGATAGTCTGTTCGCATATCATGACCTGGTCACTCAGTTGTTATGCTAACAAACTTTAAGTCCTCTTTGATTCTGTTCCATCAATCCTGTACCCGCTCTCCCTGCTGAATTTTCTAGAGGCCTTTGGGGAGTAGGTCAGTAAGGCATCATTGTGATTAAAGAGAACAGAAGGAATTCCAAGACATCACAGTTAAAGCTTTTTTTTTTTTTTTTAATTTTCAAATTGGCTGTTTCTCTTACCCCAAAGATTTACATTTTTAGGTACACATTGTTTCAGTTTGCATTAAAATTACTTTATATTCCTTGACCCCAACTAATGGTTAAGAAGATAGCCTAAAACATAACTTTGGCATCAAATCTCATTATGAAAATAAAAATACTGTCTGCAAGTAAATGACTTGTGAAGTGAAGATTCAGTACCCAATTAAGCATTAGTTGCTAGATCCAGGGATCCCTGTCTTTTAAAAATAAAGGCTTGCCAGAGGGAGGGAGGTGGTTAAGGGGACCTAATATATGGTGAAGGAAGAAGATCTGACTTTGCATGGTGGGAACACAGTGCAATATACAGATAGTGTAACATAGAAACCCACACCTAAAAACCTGTATGATCATATTAACCAATGTCACCCCAATAAATTTAATAAAAAATGAATTAATCATCAAAATAAATAAATAAAGACCAAAAAAAGAAGAATGGGGAGAAACATGGGTTGAAATTGGGTTTATGAAAGGAGAAAAGGGTAAAATTTGATAATTCACAATCAGGTGAGCCGATTAAATAAACAGTATTCAGTTCATTCTGCCTCGTATTTCATATAAGGTATAACCTTATTAAGTGGAGTTTTTGTTGGGTGATTTATTAATAAAAATTGCATGGAGACAGGAAAACTGTTTTCACTTATAGATTCCAGCTGCTGTTTTTGTCTAGTTATCAAAATCTCTTCTGTCTTCTCTCTAAGACAAAAAGAAGTGAAATGATTGTTGATAGATTAAGGAGCTCAATTCATTTTATCACCCAAAGACTAGGTGCTTGCTTCCCTGAGTTTTACCTTACATGGTTGCCTCTCTAAATGGGATATAGCATTAACTGATTAAAAAGCAGTAAGCCAAGGATTTAGTCCCTTATTTTTTTATGTCAGGGTAAGGTGAAGTATCTGAAGAGAGATTATTCCAGGATTGTTAGCAGAAAGGAGCAAATACTCCATCCCTATATTTCTCCTCACCAGTTAAAAAAGTAAAATAAACAACAACAAACAGACCTATGAAAGCAACTTGATTGACCTCTGGGCCAAGGACAGACCCTCAACTTTGTAGTGCCTGACAATTTTCACTGAGGAGTGAGTGCTATTTATACAATAACCATCTCTTGTTTATTGATTGCTTATTAATCATCAGAGCCTCATGATCCATTCTTTTCTTTCCTTGTGTTTCTCTCTAAACTTCCCATCAACTGTTTTGACTGTTTCAATAGTCCCTTGTTCTTCCTTGAACTCTAGACACAAAACTAGACCAAAAAACTCATGAAGTTTAAATGTTGTTTATTGCCTTTTTCTCCTTAATGGATGATCATCTAAGTTGATAGTAACTCATGTTTTATAATCCATATTTCAGCAGTGTGGATATATATGTAGGCTGTTTGCTTGGTACGATGACAATAACTAATATTTATTGTGGGCTTGTTCTGTGTTAGGCATTGTACTAAGTGCTTTGCATGCATTTAATCATCACAACCCAGCCTTTTGGGAGAGGTCCATTTTTCTCTCTTTTAGAACTACAGAAACCAAGATATAGAGAAGTTTAAACCATTTGCTTAGTCATCCATTCACTCACTCAACATATATTTGAGTGCATAGTATTTATAGCTGCAGTCGCTGCTCTAATTTGCCCACATACAGCTAGAAAGTACCAGAGCTGGGATTCCGACTATGATCCAGTAACTGAAAAATGCAAAAATGTCTCACTGTTCTGTTATATTGCACCTTCTGTAATGAATAAGAGGTATGTTTACATCACTTTCAACTGAGAGTGTGGTGTCCTCTTTATAGCTGTTTCAAAATTTATTTATTTATTTATTTATTTATTTATTTATTTAGGTAATCCTCACCTGAGAATATTTTTTCCATTGATTTTTTTTTTCTGAGAGAGAAAGAGAGGAACATTGATGTTAGAAAGACACATCGATTATTTGCCTACCACACGTGCCCCAAATCAAACCTGTGACCCTTCAGTACACCAGCCAACACTTACAACTGTTTAGATTTGTATTCTCTTTTTTGCTACGCCATGTCCATTTGATGTAATGTCTTTTTAATAGATGTAATATATGTATTTAAACATAAAGTGCCATTTTCTCTCCCACATTAAGATTGATGTGGTTTTTCGAATTATATTGTAAATTGTTAATAGCACCTACTAGTCCTTGTTTAGTTAAAGTCTCAAACAGGAACCAGATCACTGTGTTTCCCTTCACAAAAAAGTGAACCTCGGGTGTTATTTTAACTGGAAGTGAACTGAGGGAGAGGGAGAGGAGAACCTGTTATTTTTGTTGTTGTTTTTGTTTTTTACATAATCCAGTTTGAATTAAACTGTAACAACTTCATTCACTGCTAAACTCAACCTGGAATTAAATTTCAAAGAAATTGTTGGGGCTCTCTTCATCACTAATACTAGTTTTTAGAGTTCTTTAATAAAGAAAAAAGTGAAGAACTAGATTTTTTAAAAAGCTTTCTGGATATCAGGCTACTTTGTAACTCTAATGATTGGAACCAGGGTAGGAGAGAAGTTAGAAGATGGAGAAAGGAAAGTAGTTGAATCAGAGTTACAGAGTTACTTAGGGTCATCTCTTCTTCCTTCATAGATCCCCAGTAAACATTTCTATTCTAGCCCTAATCAGTAAAATCTTACTGAGACTTCAAATTTAAATGGGGGAGTGGGGGTCACAATGCAAGTTCTGTGCACATTGCAAATAAAACTCAGCAGAAATTTAACCTTTTATAGTGAATTTTAAAGTCAAAGGTACCCTATAAACAGAGCAGTCAGATGTGTTATTTTGACTCAGACTTGTAACATGCTTAGAACACTGAGGTTTTAATTTTTAAATATTCTAAAATGCTTTTTTTAAAAAAATCTTAAGTATAGGCAGAAGTGCTTAGGATTCTCACATAATCTAAAAAACTTTATAGTGCATATCTTTTTTTTTTTTTAATCCTCACCCAAGGATATTTTTCCATTGATTTTTAGAGAGAATGGGAGAGAAAGGGAAAGACAGAGAAATATCGATGTGAGAGAAACACATCTATTGGTTGCTTCCTGCATGAACCCCAACCAGGGGGGCTCAGACCAGGGAGGAGCCTGCAACCAAGGTATGTGCCCTTGACTGGAATCTCATCCGGGACCCTTCAGTCCACAGGCCAACGCTCTGTCCACTGGGCCAACTGGCTAGGGCTGTAGTGCTTATCTTCTACATCCAATTTTAAGTCCACCGTTGGACTTAATCTACAACCAAATAATGATTTGCTTAAAACCCTATGTAATGCTACATGTTTACAACTGCTTTTACAACTTCTGAGCTTATGTGTCAGATGAAGCTTAATAAAACAAGCAATTGCTTTTCTGACTTCTAGGACATGTGCAGTCCAGTGTGATATACCAAGAGATCCATTATTTTAAAATACTGTTTTTCTTTTAGCGGATTAGGTATTTTACAAATCTGAAAAAATCTACAGGATTTTATTTTTGTTTCCATGTTTAACTATTCACTCCGTATTTTTTCTTCTCATCTTCTTTTGCACTTTAATAAAATGCACTACCTTAGAAATATGTGGGTGATAAATCAAGATTCTATCATGCTATTCAGAATGGTATGCAATTTAAAACTTATGAATCGTTTCTGGAATTTACCATTTAATATTTTCGGACTATGGTTGACCTGGGTAACTAAAACCACAGAGAAAGGGGGACTACTGTATTTCACAATTGTGGTTGTTATTAGATTAGATATCAAGGTTGTTTAGATAAGAATATATTGATGTTTAGATCAGTGTCTTTCATGTCTTGCATGAATAAATCATTCCTATGATCTTGTATTGTTTTTTTAAAAAATGTCATTTTATTTTGGTGAGGTTTTTTTATTTTAATATATATTTTTATTGATTTCAGAGAGAAAGGGAGAGGGAGGGAGAGATAGAATCAATGATGAGAATCATTGATCAACTGCCTCCTGCACGTCCCCTACTGGGGATTGAGTCCACAACCCCAGCATATGCCCTTGACCAGAATCGAACCTGGGACCCTTCAGCCTGCAGGCCAATGCTCTATCCACTGAGCCAAAACAGGTAGGGTTTGGTGAGGTTTTGATAAAGTAGATGAGAGTAGGTAAAATGAGTGCTAAAGCCAAAGGTTAATATACCACATGAATCTGCATCCAAAAAAAATGAGAATTATTGCTCTAGAAAGTAAAGTCATCCCTCAGTATCCACGGGAGATTGATTTTAGGACCTGCAGAGACACTAATATCTGGGGATGCACAAGTGCTTTATGTAAAACTGGAGGCCCACTGCACCAATTCATGCACGGGTGGGATCCCTCGAGCCTGGCCTGCAATTGGGCCGATCAGGGCCGTGGTAGGTTGGCTGGCCGGGGGAAGGGACGGTGGAAGGTTGGCTGTGGGAGTGCACTGACCAGTGGGGGTCACCTCCTGTGTTGAGCGTCTGCCCCCTGATGGTTAGTGCATGTCATAGTGACTGGTTGTTAAGTCATTCTGTTGCTTAGGCTTTTATATATATAGACGGTGTTGTATTTGCATAAAATCTGCACACATCCTCCTGTACACTTCAAGTCATTTCTAGATTACTTAAAATATCTAATACAATGTAAATACTATGTAAATAATTGTTGTGCTGTGTTATTTAGGGAATAATGACAAGAAAAAAAAAGTACATATTTAGTGCAGACACAACCATTGTAGTCCATCTACTTAGTAAATGTTAGCAATGCATAACTTTCTCCTTAATATTTTTGTTTCTGTTTGTTTGAATCCAAGGATGCAGGCCCTGTAGGTATGGAGGGCCGACTGTATAACATTTTTGTCCAAGCCTCTTTAATCTTCTGTATCAACAAGTAATTTTCAAAATAAATGTTTTTATTCTCATTTCCTCTTTACTAAGACTTGTATTTTAATCCTTAACCTCTCTGGTATGAATCATTGACTGACTACTCATTGAAGGACAATTTAGTTTTATGATCTAACCCTGAAAAAATTTAATATCGATTTTTAAATATGAATCATTGAGTATTAATTGAAGGACAATTTAGTATTATGATCTAACCTTGAAAAGAACTTAATACCAATTTTTAAATAATTTCAAATAAACAGCATCTGTCTTAGGAAATTTGATCAGAAAAATTTGATCCCCAATGTTTATAGCACCGTAGCATCCTTTGTCTTAGTAAGAAAAGAAGTTATTATTTATTAGCTTTGAATAAGAAAAATCTTATCTAGGAAATACTCAGTAATTTCCATCTTTTTAAATTAATAAGCTTTATTTTTTAAAGCAGTTTTAGCTTCACAGAAACACTGAGCAGAAAGCAGTGAGTTTCCATATACTTGCTAACCCCTCACCTCCACACACAATCTTTCCTGCTAATCAGCATCCCCCACCAGCGGGAGGGATTTGTTAAAACCAATTTGTTATAATTTACATTGACACAATCACCTATGGCATCATGTTTTATTTGTGTGTGTATTTTTAAAATATATTTTTATTGATTTCAGAGAAGAAGGGAGAAGGAGAGAGAAATAGGAACATCAATGATGAGAGAGAATCATTGATCGGCTGCCTCCTGCACACACACTACAGGTTATCGAGCCCACAGCCCCGTCATGTGCCCTGACCAGTTATTGAACTGTGATCTCCTGGTTCATAGTCGACACTCAGCCACTGAGCCAAACCGGGTGGGCTGGCATCATGTTTTAACAGTGTAAAACTCTTTCAAAACAATGTAAAATTCTTTCAAAAAAGTACCTTGGGAAAAAAAACGTACCTGGAATTGCAGTATTTGAGCTCAGATTATTTTACTTGTTTGAAGACTTACTATTTATTCTCAGCTGAAAATTGTCATAATGATAATTCCTACTTCATACATTTGGTGTGAAATTTCAAATGATATGTAAAAGTCAGAAATCATTCAGTTTACACGTTAATTTGCTGTAGGATATCTGCAATTGCTAAGCTTCTGTAGTGAATTAAAAGATTGATTAAATTGACCAATATGTAATTTTCATGATTTTCGGGAAAACACTTATAATTTGGGGAGGAATTTATATATACGGTATTTTATAACCTGTGTTACCTTTATATAAAAGCCTTCTGTGAACAAATCCTAGAAAGTTAGCTTTGAATGCCATTAAAACTAGATTTTGATGTTTTATTTGTGAATTATATCTTTAAAAATATCAAGATGCTCATCTTAAAAATAAGTGAAAAAGCACTAACTACTCTGTGGTGGCTTTCATTTTTTCTCTCTTTCTAAATATGGGCAAAATGACCAAATCTGCTTACGAGCTATCCTAGAAAGCAGTCAAATTGCTGTGTATTGGCCAACTAGAAAACTGGCAAACTGCTCTTGCACTGTCACTAAATATAATAATGTTTAGGATTAGGGCACTTTAAATAAATGTTCTTATGGTTCATAATTTATGATGTTACTTATGTGTGGTGATAGATGATAGGTAGGTAGATAGATAGATAGATAGATATAGATAATTTAATTGTGCAGAGTAACTAGAGCACAGTAAGCCTATGGTTCTAGTTTATTTGGGATTTTGATGGTAGATTGATTCCTTTTGCTTTTTAGAACTCAGGTGTGTGTGTGTGTGTTTTTGTTTTTTTAATTCTTTTCAACATGAACTGCTCACCTTTCAATTTCATCTCCTTTTACTTTTCAAACTTGAAAAGTTTGAATTTAGGACTAATTATATATACTTACGTGTTAAAGTAATTTATAAAGGCAAATACTGTTCCAGGTTGTCTTGTGTTAATTTTTTATTACTGTTTTCTGTGAAGAATTTCTTCATTCATCAACAAATAATTACTAGGCTCCTATTAAGTATCAAGTACTATCCTGGGCACTGGGGAAAAGCAGTGAACAGAAACTCTGTCCTGGGAGGAGTTTACATTCTGATCCCAGTATTGCTTGTAGCTCTGATAATGAGTTTGATAAGGCTGTAAATGTAACTTCTTATCTGTGAAACAGTTTTATAAAATAATTGTGAAGCATGCTAATGAAAATAATAGGATACTTTAGTTCCTATTCCTACTCATGTAAATGAGAGAGTAGTATATTAGAAAATTACATAC